TTTTCAAATAAACTCACTGTGGCCTTTCATTTCTACATGCACATTTCTATGCATTCATTTACTCAAAGAAAAACTGATTTCTCCCATCAAAGTACTAACCAGGCCTGACCTGCTTAGATTCTAAAATCAAACAAGCTCAGACATGTATGTTCAGGGTAGTATGGTGGTAGACAATTATTGATTTCCCTATAGCATGCCAGGTACTAATGATTCAAGAAAAATGAAGAAATCCACTTTTATTGTATGATATGAGATGAGAAGAGAGGACCACATTGCAAAGCTGAAGCTAAGCTATAGATGGACTTATTGGCCTCCTAAGGAGATTTTATTCTAGAGAGCTAGGAGTAATTAGAGGTTTTCAAGCCCAGAAATGGCCTGTCCACTTCAGTTACATAAATCTCATGGTTGTGGCAAAGAACTTTAAAGAGACTCCCATACACTATATTCAGGTAACCACATAAATTCATGTCAAGAAAGAAACTACAAAAGAACCTGAGATCCAACAAGGCCTTCTCTAGAGTGAATAGGAACCCCATAGGTACAGCAAGAACCAAACAAAGAGGTTTGTCAAGTTGAGAAGAAGAAACCAGGCTTCAATTTTCATTCTTCAACAAAGAAATAATCATACAGATGAATCCCTGAAATGCCTGAAATGGGTTCCAGTCTTTTTGGAGCCAATAAGAGTTCTAATCACATTTTAACAACACAGTTCCTTGCAAATGAAGTCATCGGTCTTCCTTTGATTTTATTAGAAAGAATCTCATGCAGACCAAAACTGAGATAAACTCACACCCCTAAAGAGAAGCAATGACACCAGTAACTACTACTTTGAACCAACTTTTAGAACCAGAACTGAGACAATGATTCATCAGACTACACCTTGACCAGGATTGCTTAATTATATATGCCTCTTGCCCCACTTTTTCAGTACCTTAAGGATGAACTCGGTCACTGGATCCTGGTTTGTTTCCCTTCCCAACTCTCTAAACCTCTTTGCTTTTGGCTATTATTCATCTCATTAACCGGAGTTGGGTGGCTGAAACCCTCTTGCTGGGGCTGCCACAGCTGGGACTTCAGCCCTGAAACTGATTATACCATAGTTTATGCCAAACATATGGTGGCTGCTTATGTGCACAAACAAGATGTAGAATGATTCTGTCTCAGCAATTGTTCTCAAAATGGAGTGAAATGAAGTTTTGTAAAATGGCGTCACTCAGTTCAAGAACAGCCTCAAAACCACTGTTTTTAGAGTAAAGCATGATCTAATTGCCACAATCTCTAACTAAGCCTAATTCATAAATTATGAAAAAATCCATATATATGGGACTAGGTACTACCTGCAGTTTGAAGACTCACAGTAGTTCTTGGAAGCACATCCTTACAGATAAGACAAAACTACTATCTGGAAAGATTTTCTGTTAATTTTAATAACAAGTATTTTCTTTCTTTAACTTGCAACCAGCAACCAACATGCTCCATACAGTTGTCAAACTTGCTATGTAGCCAAGGATGACACTGAACTTCTGATCATTCTGTTTATATCTCCCTAGTCCAGGGATTACAGGTGATGCCAGGTTTTAAATAGTGCTAGGGATCAAACCCTGAGCTTCACACATGCTAGGCAAGTAGTCTCCCAACTGAGCTACATCCTCAGCCCCCAAAACTTCATTTAAAACTAAAAGCTAACAAATCTGGACTGGAGAAGTGGCCCTAGGGCTAAGAATTCTTCCTGCTCTTGCAGAGGACCTGAGTTCCACTCCCAGCACCCATATGGGGTGGCTTACAACCAACTTAACTCTATCTCCAAGGGATCAAAAGCCTTCTCTGGCCTCCATCTGCATCTGTGGAGTCAAATACATAGAGAGAGATACACATATACAAATAATTTTTAAAATAAAATGAAAGTTCAGCAACTGCTGCAGAAGATGGTACCTTTTATAACCCCATGGATGTGTCTGTTTTTTTACATTTATTTATTCATTGGGGGATGCAGGCACAGCACTGGATGCCTGTGGCAGTTAGAAAACAACTTGCAGGAATTGGTTCTTTCTTTGGATTCTGGGGACTGAACTGAGGTCCTCAGGCACGTACCCTCACCCACTGAGCCCTCATGGGCTTTTTAAAGGTGTAATCAATATAGACGGAAATTACTAAGTACCTATTTAAACATGTACCAAACTTCTGCAAGAATAAAATTTTGGGAGGATCAAATGAACTGGAGTTTATTCTAAAGAGACTATTTAACACTGGTGAATTTAAAAAGCAGTATTTTAAAATTAGCTACTTTGAGAAACAAAACATTCCATAAAACGACCTCTCTAATCATAGCAATTTGAAGTTGGAAATAAAATATTTACTATATTATTCAAAGGCTGTCTTCTCACTGCCTAATTTGTATTTTATAAAGAGAAAAACTGAAACTACTAAAGCTAAATGCAATGCCACATGCTGACTTCACTACCTGCAGACCAATTCCACACTGGCACAGACTTATCGACATCTTTTGCTTTGGGTTAAAGGCATTGCTCAGTTGTCAGGAACTATCATGTTTCAATATGAACGATTTATTTCTATTCAAGTGGAAGGGAGTGCTCTGCCTCGGAGGCTCTAATGACTGAGTAGGAGAGACTTCCTCTAGGACACAGTTCTACCAAAAAAGAAATTGCAAAACACTTCTTCTGATTGTCTGGGTCACTTGAGCACCACTTAAAGAAACAAGCTTTTAAGCAACATTAAATTTACTGTATTAAGACAATCGGCCAGAAAGGCCTTTTTTTTATTAATATTTCTCAATATTAATGGTAGAAGTACAGTCTGGGTGAACTGGTCATAAGTTGGCACAGACAGATAGTGAATTTTTCTTTGTTAAAGTGTAAGAAACCTAACTTCTGTCTCCCTACAGTCTCAGAAGATATAATAAGACACAACTGTAATATACCAAAAAGCACAGGTTTTATCCAGTCTATTTACTTTGGCCTCTAAATTTTATTTACTCAATAATGGTTCTAGTTATTAGAAAGTACAAGAACAACAAAAACAATACACTCTAAATACAGCTATTAAACTCAATTTGCAGCAGGTATGGTGATGCAAATTTGCAATCCCAGCACAGGGAAGGCAAAGGCAAGAGACTGTCATGATTTCAAGAACAGTCAAGGCTGCATAAACTTAATCTGGGTTTCCATACCTGTATATGGTACTGTGTTTATTCCCCATACACACACATCTATGACAAAGTTTAATTTATAAGTTAGATATAATAAGAGATTAATAACAAAAATTAAGCAGAACATTACCATATACTGTAATAAAATCTACAGAATCACTATTCTTGTGCTTTGGGGTCATTAGAAGTAAAATAAGAGTTACTCAGAACAGGGCCAGGCGTGGTGGTGCACGCCTTTAATCCCAGCACTTGGGAGGCAGAGGCAGGCGGATCTCTGTGAGTTCAAGGCCAGCCTGGTCTACATAGTGAGTTCCAGGACAGCTGGGGCTACAGGGAGACCCTATCTCAAAAAGACCCCCCCCCCCAAAAAAATAACACATGCTCCTTTCCTTTCTTTCTTGGTCTAGGGAAAATAAAAAGAGCTACTCAGAACCATAAGTGATCTGAGAGACACTGTATCTGACAATGGCTGGGGAGCTCCTAAGTAACTAGCATGCTCTACACAAAATGGAATGGGACAGTGTAAAATTTATCACACTCTGAAGAATGGTTCACAATTTTAAATTTGTTAGTTCTATCCTTCTGGAATTTTTCATTGAGCATTTTTAGACCACAGTTGGGTGCAGGTAACTAAAACTACCAAAAGTGAAACTGTGGGAAGAGGGGCTACTATATACAGGAAATGTCAGCATATCCCTCAAGAAAATCTAATCAGAATCTACAGCTCAAAATAGATTTTAATTGCAGGGAAGGAAAGCTTCCTGACAGACTTGCACATGGTACAGAACTCTGTATTACTAGACCTCTTATATTAAATGAACTGGATAAAATGAAGCAAAAAAGTTAGCAAGACCAAAATCACTGCCAGTCAAGGTCTTCTGGGAAACAATTATGGAAATAGTTCAAATTCTTTTTTTTACATCCTATAAGTATATATTAAAAATTTGCACAGCATGTTGAACGAATTAAAGAAGATATGTTAAGGGGCTAGAGAGATGGCTCAGCGGTTAAGAACACTGGTTGTGAATTGGCCCCACCCAGCACCACCAGCGGCTACAAAAAGAAAAAAAAAAGAAAAAGATCACAGGTTGTTCTTGCAGAAGAATCCCAGCACCCACATGGCAGCTAACAACTGTCCGTAACTGCAGTTCCAAGGGATCCAACAGATTCTTCTGTCCTCCGCGGACATTGCACAACACGGGTGTGTTAGGGAAAGAGGAATTTACTGTTTGTTTGAATATACTGCTTGCCTGAATTTAC